CTTTTATGTCAATCGGCCTTCGGCCCAATCATTCATGTCCATTGGCCTTTGGCCCAATCATTTATGTCAATCGGCCTTCGGCCCAATCATTCATGTCCATTGGCCTTTGGCCCAATCATTTATGTCAATCGGCCTTCGGCCCAATCATTCATGTCCATTGGCCTTTGGCCCAATCATTTATGTCAATCGGCCTTCGGCCCAATCATTCATGTCCATTGGCCTTTGGCCCAATCATTTATGTCAATCGGCCTTCGGCCCAATCATTCATGTCCATTGGCCTTTGGCCCAATCATTTATGTCAATCGGCCTTCGGCCCAATCATTCATGTCCATTGGCCTTTGGCCCAATCATTTATGTCAATCGGCCTTCGGCCCAATCATTCATGTCCATTGGCCTTTGGCCCAATCGTTCATGTCAATCGGCCTTCGGCCCAATCATTCATATCAATCGGCCTTTGGCCCAATCATTCATGTCAATCGGCCTTTGGCCTAATCACTTGTATCAATCGGCCTTTGGCCTAATCATTCATGTCAATCGTTGCCCACCATTCAAATTAATGACTTACAAAACTTACATAGGAGTAAACAATCGGACAACAACATATTCAAATATCTTGTTAAGATATTACTCACAGTGATCGGTTGGTTGGTTTGCCCTGGAACTCGCCCCTACACATTCCATGAACACAAAAGGGTCACAAACAATTCAATCTGTTCTAAATTCGCATTTTCCTCTTTAGGCTTCATTCTTGTCTCATTAACTCAATTACAATGCTTAATGCATGCCTAAGAGTACTTAGAATTGAAGGAGAACGGAAAACGAAACACAGAACGCATAAACAAAATTTTAGAAAACAGCGTCCCCGCTCGAGCGGACCCTAGAGGCCTGCAAAAGTACTGGTTATGTCATTTTTACGCTCGAGCGTGGAACTTGGACGCTCGAGCGGAAGGCCTCTCTACATGGCTCCCTGCTCGAGCGTGAACTTTTCCGTTTGAGCGGACGCCATGTCTGCAAAAATATGCTGGGTGCTCGTATTTTATACTCGAGCGGAGGATTCCCCGCTCAAGCGGACACCATGAATTCTGGGTTTTCCATAATGTGTTCTTGAGCTCAAATCCGACCTTCCAAGGTTCAAAACCCATAAATTTGGTTCCAAAACATGCAAACACATTATATAATATGGGCATATAAGCAAGGTGAGGTCAATTGCTCAAAATCATGGTCCAATTCATCCAAATTAATCTACATTTCTTTGTAAACTCAAGGCTCATACAATCAAACTTTACACAAGTTTCATATCTTCCATAATCAAACATGCATGTCAATTTTTGACCTCATTTCCATTTCAAATCGCACTAATGATGCTCATAAACGATGAAAATCAATAAAATCATGCTTGCATGTACACTTCAATGCTCAATTCTTCACAATTCACACATTACATGCTAGATTATGCAATTTCATAGCAATTATATACATGCATGCATACTTTGACCTTCAATTCAACATAAACAACTCAATTCCTCTCTAATCCTTGCTCTTGATCATTAATCCACTTTGAATACACAAAATTACACATTAAACTCATGGATTCACTTACCTAGAGGCTCAATTCTTCCAATCTATAGCAAATTCTTGAGTAATCTTCCAATCCCCAAGCTTGAGCCAAAAATTGCACAAGTCTCTCCCTTTCTCTCTCTAATAGCCGGCCTTCTCTCTTTCTAGAGAGTTGATTATGCCAAATGAAGATAAAAGGTGGAAATTGAGTGCATAATGCCTTTTACACAAATTCCCACTAGCCACAATTTAATAATAAGAAATAATTGGGCACTAATTCTCCAATTTAATCAACTTAATCTGGTCTGAATCAATTTTTCAATTAAACTTCACCGTAGGCTCTAAAAATTATGCCAATCACAATGGCGCAATCAATTTTGATTTCGATGGCCGTTAAGGCCTTCAATTTAATTTCAAAAGCAGATAATCAAACAGATATTCCTACGGTGAACAGATAGAAATTCAAAACCACATATTTTCACACAACGACACTTGAAATCGTATTAAACACATAATCATACTCAAATTAAGGACCAATTAGCATCCTATGGCACAGGGGCATCACAGCATTAGTCCTTTCCTGAGTATGGCCTGCATACATACACAACTCATGAATTATTTCCTTTTCCTTCATTAATCATTTCCGGGTTCGTTTTGTTTCACACGAATTTACAGATATCAAAAAGGCTTCAAATACATATTTTAAAAATATCTGAAGGACGAGCACGTAAAACGGAGCAGGTAAATTTTTCCGACCTAGGTCGTACGTGCGGCCGTCCCCTCCGCACGTGCGGACATGGACCGCACGTGCGGTGCCCCTTCTCCACTCGAGCGGCCAAAAATAGTATGCAAAACCCAATTTTCTTCCTCTTTTCCGCACGTGCAGCCATGACCTCTGCACGTGCGGCCGTGGCCCCTATTTTGGGCAGCCCGATTTCAACTCCAAAATCAACAACACCAACACATTTTACATGCAAAACAAGGGTAAATTAATGCAATACATTAACCCAACATCACTATAACATGAATTATAAGTTGAACATCACAAAATAAACATGTTTAGAAGTTTAATCAAGTCACAACCCTTCCAAATTCCATCTTTTAATCCAAGTTCCTTATGTCCATAAGACATAACACAATACATAGGTATAATTTCATGGGTTTGGCATGGAAACCAAAGATTGAAGTGTAAATCCTACACAACACTTAAATTAGATCCCAAAACAACTCATTGATGAGCACAACTTTTATAACCAAACATGAATCACACATAATTCTCCATTACAACCCTAATAATATACATATGAAACTAACAAACCCTTCTCCACAATTGAAAGGAGAATTCTCATGTAAAATAAATTTAACATACCTTGAGCTTTAAAAATTTCAAAGATCCTCCTAATTTAATCCCCAATTCCCTTCCTTGTTGAACTTTGCCCCTTTTTCCTTCTTCTCTTCTTTGATTTTTCCTCTCCAGGAGATAGTCACGAAAATCCCCCTCCCAAGTCAAATGTTTTTAAAGAACATGAAGACATGAGATATAAGATATATCTAATAGGTGAATAGGACAAAATCCAATCGTTTAATCATTCCGAAATTGAAATTTCGTAGACATGCTTAATATTACCTAAAAATTATGCTGATCACAGATATATAATCAATTTCGGATAATTAAGTCGTTAAGGCTTCCAATTTCTGATTCAACCATTCTAGATGTAACAGATACTTTGCTTGGTAAACAGATAGACATCCTTAAACATGGATTTCACTTACTTAACCTTAATTTCTCATGGGGTTTTACAGTAAACATTTAAAAGCACAAAACAAGGACTGAAAATATATATCAGAAAACATGTACAAGGGTCGGGTTATTACACTCTCCCCCCCTTAAGTAAGTTTGGTCCTCCTAACTTGTTGTACCTTAGGGCAGAAACAAATGTGGGTACTGGTGTTGCATTTCCTCCTCTCTTTCCCACGTTGCGTCGGTTCCATAATGTTCTTGCCATTCCACTTTTACCATTGGAATTTCTCGGTTTCATAAGTGTTTCACTCGTCGGTCCAAAATGCGGATTGGTTTTTCTTCATAAATTAGCTTGTCATCCAACTCAATTTGGTGGTAATCAATGACATGTGACGGATCTGGAAGGTATCCTCGAAGCATGGAGACATGGAACACGTTATGTACTTGACTCATATTTGGCGGAAGGGCAACCCGGTAAGCTACTAGACCCACTTTCTCCAAAATTTGGAATGGACCTACATATCGGGGTGTTAAATTGTCCCTTTTCCCGAATCTCAGATGTCCTCTCATTGGGGTGACTTTCACAAAAACATGACTATCAACTTCAAATTCCAAATTCCTTCGTCGGTTATCCGCATAGCTCTTCTGCCTACTTTGAGCAGTCTTCAGTCTTTCCCGAATGATTTTAACCTTTTCAGTTGTCAACTGAACAATTTCAGGCCCTAGCAAAGATTTATCTCCATCTTTATCCCAACACACGGGAGAACGACATGGTCGTCCATACAAAGCTTCATAGGGTGCCATATCTATTCTCGAATGGTAGCTATTATTGTACGCAAATTCTACCAATGGTAGGTGGGTTTCCCAACTTTCTTGAAAATCTAGCACACACATTCGGAGCATATCCTATAGAGTTTGTATCGTTCTCTCAGATTGACCGTCGGTCTGAGGGTGGAAAGCTATGCTGAACTTTAATTCTGTACCCATTGCTTCTTGTAAACTTTGCCAGAATCTGGAGACAAACTTCGGATCCCTATCTGACACAATTGAGACCGAAACACCATGAAGCCTCACAATTTCATTAACATGAATTACCACCAATTTGTCTGCATTATACTGAGTCTTTACTGGTAGGAAGTGAGCGGACTTAGTTAATCGGTCCACAATGACCCATATTGAATTCATACCCCGAGGAGTTCGTGGTAATCCCACAACAAAATCCATGGTCAAATGTTCCCATTTCCATTCCGGGGTGGGAAGAGGTTGCAACAAACCGGCAGGTCTTTGATGCTCCGCTTTTACTTGCTGGCATTGCAAACACTTAGAGACAAACTCTACGATCTCCTTCTTCATATTTGGCCACCAAAAATTTTGCTTCAAATCTCGGTACATTTTGGTACTCCCTGGATGCATTGAGAACCTTGAGATATGTGCGTCTTCCATCAGTTTTTGCTTAAGGTTTAACACATTGGGGACACATATTCGGTTTTGAAATTTGAGCACTGAATCTACCAAACTGAATCCCGGTTTTGGTTTTGTTCCTAACTCATCACATATCTTCCTTAGAGCTTCATCTTCTATCTGATGCAATTTAATTTCCTCAAGTAAGGTCGGTTGGGCCATCACTGCTGCAATTAAAGCTTCCTGTCCATGTAGCACAAAGTCTACTTCCATCTTATCCAATTAAATTGCTAATTCCTTTTGCCCTATAACCAAACTTGCCAAAGTCCCCATACTTTTCCGACTGAGCGCATCTGCAACTGTGTTAGCTTTACCAGGATGGTAATGAATCTGCAAATCATAATCTTTAAGAAGTTCCAACCACCATCGCTGCCGCATATTCAACTCTTTTTGAGTAAAAAGGTAATTGAGACTCTTATGGTCGGTGTACACTTCGCAAGTAGTGCCATACAAATAGTGTCTCCATATCTTCAAAGCAAAAACTACTGCTGCTAGCTCCAGATCATGCGTGGGATAATTCTTCTCATGGGGCTTCAGCTGACGAGAGGCATAAGCGATAACTCTCCCATTTTGCATAATTACACAACCAAGTCCTTTATGGGAAGCATCATTGTAGATTACAAACCCTTCGGTACCGGATGGTAAGGCCAGCACTGGTGCTGTAGTCAACTTTGTCTTCAATTCTTGGAAGGCAGATTCCCGCTCTTCTGACCATTCAAATGCAACACCCTTTCGAGTCGGTTGTGTAAGTGGCACGGCAATTTTAGAAAAATCTTGAACAAATCTCCTGTAATAGCCAGCTAACCCCATAAAACTACGCACTTCAGTCACATTAGTGGGAGTTGGCCAATTCACAATTCCCTCAATCTTGTGTGGATCAACAGAAACTCCTTCCTTTGTGATAACATGCCCCAAAAATGCCACCTCTAGTAGCCAGAATTCACATTTCTTCAGCTTTGCATACAGTTTCTTTTCCTGGAGGGTTTGAAGGATCAAGCGGAGATGATTCTCGTGAGCTTTTGTATTCTTCGAATAGATGAGGATATCATCAATAAAAACCACCACAAATTCATCCAAATAGGGCTTAAAGACACGGTTCATCAGATCCATAAAAGTTGCTGTTGCGTTAATGACTCCGAAGGGCATTACCAAAAATTCATAATGACCGTACCGGGTTCGAAAAGCTGTCTTCTCAACATCATCAGCCTTGACCTTTAATTGATGGTATCAAGACCGTAGATCAATCTTAGAAAAGACTTGTGCCCCCTGAAGCTGATCAAATAGGTCATCGATTCTTGGTAATGGATACTTATTCTTGATTGTGACTTTATTAAGTTCCCTGTAATCAATACAAATCCGGAGTGTTCCATCCTTCTTCTTCACAAACAGAACTGGTGCACCCCATGGAGATATACTCAGACGGATGAATCCTTTGTCCAGTAAATCTTGCAACTGCATTTTCAGTTCCTTCATCTCAACTGGCGACATTCTATACGGAGTTTTCGAAATGGGTTGAGTTCCCGGTGCTACTTCAATTGTAAACTCAATTTCACGATCTATTAACTGCCCTGTCAATTCTTCTGGAAAGACATCCGAAAATTCACAAACAACTAGGATCATGTCGGTATTCCCATTCACCTCTTGCCCCTCTAAAAGACTGCATAAATACCCCTGACACCGTTTCTGAATTAATTTATAAGCCTTTGCTGCAGAAATCAAATAAGGTGGAGAAGTTACGCTATGTCCCTGTATGGTAGACTCTAATTGTCCTGGAGGGTGGAAACTGATTTGTTTAGTCAGAAAATCTATAGTTGCACCATGTTCACCCAACCAGTCCATTCCCAGAATAATATCAAAATAGGTCATGTCAAGAGGTAACAGATTGGCATATACCTAGATATCCCCAAGCTCGAGTTCACAACCAAAATAGACAGATGTACAAAGCATAGAGTCTCCCAAAGGTGAAGACACACACAACATATAAGATAGTTTTTCTTCAGTTTTATCTAAGTTTTGTGCAAATAATTTTCATACGAAGGAATGAGTAGAGCCAGAATCAAATAATACACAAGCAGAATGACCGTGAACCATAAATATACCTGATACCACCGTTGCCGCATTCTGTACATCTCTCGAAACCAATGCAAACACCCTGCCTTGTCTCGCAGTGTCTTTATTGGTCGTAGGTTTGGTAACTGACTCGGTGTTGGTGGTTGGTGCAGACCCCGCTGAACTAGTAGCAACCCTATTGCCATTTCGTTGATTCCTCTGAGGGCAATCTTTTATCAAATGACCCATTTTGTCACACTGATAACAGGCTCCAGACTTCCATTGGCATGTCTCACGATGCTTCTTTCCACATTCCGAACAACCAAGAATCGTACCCTGACTAGGGGCAGAAGTATTTGAAGTCCCTAAATTTTGTTTCTTGTTCGGTGGAATACTTGACCCCTTTGACCATTGATTATTCTGCCTTTTCCCTTTCCACTCGGAGATCCGATTCTGAGCAGCAAGGTTTCCTTCAGCTATAACAGTCCTCTCCAGCACGTCTACATAGGTGGGCAACTTCAACATATTGACTCGATCCAGAATTGCTCCCCGTAATCCCCTTTCAAATTTTTGTGCCTTCTTATAATCCGTGTCCACCATGTGCGGTGCAAACCGGGCTAGCTTTGCAAATTGGGCCTCATATTCAGCAACAGTCTTGTTCCCTTGTCTGAGAGTTTGGAATTCAGTCACCTTTTTATCCCGCATGCTTTGAGGGAAATACTTATCATAAAACAATTCCAAGAATCTGTCCCACGTCAATCCTTGGTGTATAGTCCTCGTAAGCATCCACTATCTTCGTGCCTCGTCCTCAAGAGTGAAAGCAGCCAGTTGCACCTTTTGAGCTTCGGTGTAAGGGAAAACTTCAAATAATTTCTCTATGCCCAACACCAATGCCTCAGCTTTCAATGGTTCTCTTCCTCCTTTGAAGGATGGCGGTTTCATCTTTTTAAACTCCTTAGTAAGGGTAATGGTCCGGTCTTCGGCATGGACATCTTGTACTACCGGTAGAGTTACTGGTGGCGGTGGCGGTTGTTCCTGTGGTTGTTGCTGTTATTGTGGCTGTTGCTGTTGTTGCCGTAAGGCCTCTGCCATTTCCATAATCATTCTCTCCATCCCTGTCCAACCGTGCAGCAGTAGCATCTTCCTGCCCCTCTGCCCTTGTTCTCACCATGATCTACATAGCAATCATTTATATACCGTAGACATAATTCAAATTGTTAGCATTATCAGAGTTCATATAAGGTTGCCATCGATCTTCTCATATATTTTCAGGATGTCATGCAACATGCCTAAAGCTTTTCTAGACACCCTAAGGCTCAATGGATCCGTGTGTGAGAGAGCAACTCGTGCTCTGATACCACTTGTCACGCTCCAAACCCGCCCCTAAAAGTTTGGGCATGACCTATTCAGAAACGGACATGTAACCTGGTAACATAACATACGGGGCCTTATCAGAAGCACGAAATATGAAAATAATGATACAAATAAACTCCATTGAGCTACTTCTACATGCCAGGATCTCATACATCACATGCATCATAATGGATAGATAAAGTCCCAAACTGTATCCCAGAGCACCAGTTATATACAAACACATTTACAGTCCTAGCCCTATGATTGGGCATATACAAAACATGAAAGTTATATACATCAACCTTAGATGAACACTCAAAAAGTAAGCCAACATCTTAACAGCTTAACAAAATAAATGGCCTTCTATAGTGCCTGGACACACGAAGGTTGGCAAAATAGAGCGGGCTACGTGGCTAGGACTGACCACCTGATTGGTGACCTACAGAACAGACATAACAGAGAGTGAGCCGGGCTCAGTGAATAGTAATACATAAATAAAACGATGCTTAACTTGAAACATAATACACATCAATGCATATAAGGATGCAGAGTTCACATAGTTAGTCTGATTCTGTGCTAATTACATGACGGCCTTAGGCCCAATCCCGCAGCATAAACATGATGGCTATAAGCCCTTGAAACATGGTGGCACAAGGCCCTTGAAACATATGGCATAAAAGCCCTTGAAACATAAGGCGTAAAAGCCCTTGAAACATGCAGCGTTAAGCCCTTGAATTGTATTGGCATTAAAGCCCTTGAAACATGGTGGCATGAAAGCCCATGAAATTATGTTGGCATTTAAGCCCTTGAGATCATGAGAATAGGTAAAGAGTTCACATTCTTATCATCATACAGTTACATTCCTTTAATCATTCGCATAAGTGCATAATCAACATGTACAACAGAATGCTATGGCATTCGTTAGCTGTAAGGAAAACGTACTACTACTCACAGTGTTGAGATGACGTGTTACTTCCTCCCGTAGTGTGTCCTGCACACATTCAAAACTTGCACATTAGTTCCCTTTTCTTTCTTAAATCATTTCCTGAGTCTTTACACTTTGCATGAATTTACAACCATCTTAAGATCATCAGAAAAATATTCTAAAAATACCGGAGAGTCAAGTACGCAAAACTGAGCGATAAGTTTTTCGGACCTGGGCCGCACGTGTGGCCGGACCCTCTGCTCATGTGGACATGTACCGCACGCGTGGTCCTCCCCCTCTGCTCGAGCGGTCCAAAGCAGTATGTAAAATCCGTTTTTTCTTCTTTGTCCGCACGTGCGGCCATGACCTCCGCACGTGCAGTGGTGACCCCTGTTTTGGGCAATCCGTCTTCAACACCAAATTTCAACAACACCCACTCATTTTACATGCAAAACAAGATTCAATTAATGGCATACATTAACCCAACTTCACTATAACATGAATCATAAGATGAACACCACCAAGCAAACATGATTAGAAGCTTGATCAAGTCACCATTCTTTCAAATTCCATCCTTCAATTCAAGTTCCTTATGTTCATAAACATAACACAACACAACACATAAGCATGCTTTCATGGGTTTGGCATGGAACTAAAGATTGAAGTAGAAATCCTACACAACACTTAAATTAGATCCCAAAACAACTCATTGATGAGCACAACTTTTATAACCAAACATGAATCACACACAATTCTCCATTACAACCCTAATAATATACATATGAAACTAACAAACCATTCTCCACAATTGAAAGGAGAATTCTCATGTAAAATAAATTTAACATACCTTAAGCTTTAAAAATTTCAAAGATCCTCCTAATTTAATCCCCAATTCCCTTCCTTGTTGAACTTTCCCTCTTTTTCCTTCTTCTCTTCTTTTGTTTTTCCTCTCCAGGAGATAGTCACGAAAACCCCCCTCCCAAGTCAAGTGTTTTTAAAGAACATGAAGACATGAGATATAAGATATATCTAATAGGTGAATAGGACAAAATCCAATCGTTTAATCATTCTGAAATTGAAATTTCGTAAACATGCTTAATGTTACCTAAAAATTATGCTAATCACAGATATATAATTAATTTCAGATAATTACGCCATTATGGCTTCCAATTTCTGATTTAACCATTCTAGATGTAACAGATACTTTGCTTGGTAAACAGATAGACATCCTTAAACATGGATTTCACTTACTTAACCTTAATTTCTCATGGGGTTTTACAGTAAACATTTAAAAGCACAAAACAAGGACTGAAAATATATATCAGAAAACATGTACGAGGGTCGGGTTATTACAGTAAAGGCCTTGTGAGCAAGGAGTAAAGAAAGGTGAACCACCCCCTCAACCTTTATTTGCCTTAAAACCCAAGTTTCAGCCCAAAAATACAGAGTTTATGCAGCCCAAAAATAATTGGAAAATAGTGGGAAAAAGAGTAAATAAAGCAAGTAAAGAAGCAGAGCTTTATACCTCTTGAAGATGAGAACCAATTCTAGGCAACAAATCAAGACGAACACACCCTCAAGAGCTCAAACAAGGCTCAAAGGTACCTTAGCACAAAGATGGAGAGGTTTGGTCAAGAGTGTATAGGCAAATGCTTGCGAAAAGCTAAGACATTTCAAGAGAGAGAAAATTGTAAAGAAAGAGAGAGAATTTTTGTTCCAAAAAATTCCAACCTTAAAAATGGAAGGGGAGGCCTCTTATATGTAGAAAACCAAGAAACTCCCTTAGAAATATCTATACATACACATGTAGGAAGGTGCATGCATTTGTGCCAACAGCTGGCACATCTAGCAGAAAAATATCTGCAAAACACATTGGTGTTCGGTAGGCCACATCAGTGGCCAGCCACCAGAAACAATAGCCAGCAGTGCATAGCAGTGGCCGGCAAGCCAAAAAAGGTTGCAGGCTTGAAAATCTAAGGTTTTGGTCCAAAAATAAAGCAACAGGGGCGTAGGGTTTGAAGGGCTCAAAGCTGTGGCATTCTGCTGAGGAGTTCGAGCACTTGACAAGCATATACACTCATCATTGTGTGTGCAAGCGATAATGTCCAAGTCGTAAGGGCGGTCAAAAATGGGGTGCCTACAAGTATATCTATTGATCGAGCTCACATTGGAGGCTCACAGTACTTTTGCAGACTTTTATGGGCAGCTCGAGTGGCCAAAGCTTCGCTCGAGTAAACCCAGTTTTCTTACATACCGCTCGAGTGACCAACAATTCGCTCTAGTGAACAACTCTTTTCTGCATATTTTGGAAAATTGTACTTTGTTCGTATTTTTCATCTCATCTCTTTCCAAGCACTTCTAAGCATAAATTATGATTCATTAAGGACTAATAAGCTAAGAATCACCAAAAGTAATTAGCTAAGAAGTAAAGTAAGAATCCGGTTTATTTGGGAAGGAAGAATAAGTGAAGTAGGAATTCGGTTTACTTAAAAGGAAAAGAATAAGAGAAGTTATATGTGATCAAGAGAGTAACATTGTGTTTCGATATGTTTGTTTATGTGCTTTGTGTAGGATTGGACATCCAAGGTGTTACATTCAAGTCACGCCCACTGTGAGTAATATCTCTATAAAGACATGTTCAAAAAGTATTTTGAAATTGTTCAATTGTGAAGTTTAGGAAATCTGATTTTGTATTTATGAATGAATGTCCTTTTTGAAATTCTATTCGTGGAATCCTTTAGTGACGCCTTCGCCTGGGGGAAACAATACCATGACCCATTGGATTAATAGAAACACAAAGATCTCTTATGCAAGACCTTAGTGGTCCACATTGAATTACCCATTGTGGTTTTATTGATTGACCTGTTGTGGTCCCATTGAATTGACCTTGATGGTCCCATTGGCTTCGGCATATGGTTATATTGAACCTCTATTGGATGTTACCACGTAAATTGATTCAAATGGATTATTAACATAAAGGATTGATACGATTTGATATATGATTTGTTTTGGGAATTATAAGACATGTTTTATATTATTCTGGACTTCATTCATTAATCTCTTTTTTGGTATTACACACTGGGCTGTAGCTCACCCATTTCCCTTATATATATGTAGGTGAGCAATTGGAGGATCAGCATTAGAGTTTGCCTCGGAGTTTGCCATTTGTCAAGCCACCCAAGAAGTGCCTCCATGTTGAGGCCATAGTTTTGTTTTGTCAGAGTTCTGTACTTTGATTATGTCTTAAGTGTGTGTGAGATATGTATAAGATATGTCTTTGCATATGTATTATAAATTTTTTATTTATTTCAGTTTATCATGAATGCACTGCTCAATGGACATTCTTATTTTGTTTTGCTTTTGCTTCAAGCCCCGATATTAATTAATATTTACAGAATTTTGTCTTTGAGGCCAAATTATAGTCCGG